GAGGTCTCAAGTGACAGAGTCCGAAGCGCCCGCACTAGCCGAGACATGCGTGGCCTCGCCTGACGATGAGCACGTCCAAGCGTCAGATGCCGGAGGAAGGACGACGTCTCGGGGAGAGACGTCAGCGCAGCTTCTCCGAGACGGAAGATTCGGGGAGGAGCCTCCGGAAGAAGCGTTGGGAGCGGGATCTTGCGCTCAGGTCGCGCTATCGGCGGAGGAGCTGATCACGAGACGATGACATGGTGTATGGCGTCCGGAGGCTCTTCGGTGGTCGTTGGTGCTTCTTGCTCGTCGAGTGACCGGTGACGGTGGGGCAGCAGAGAGGAAGAGGGCCGAGGAGGAGGAGGATAGGGAAGGATAGGGAAACAAAGGCTTATCGCAGCGCATCGGCGGGAGATCAGAGGGGATCGGAGCCCGAGAGCGTGTGGGCAGATGGCCGGCGACGGGCGAGTGCCGACACGAGGGTAGGTAGTGGCGGGTGCATGCTCAGGGCGAGTGCAGGGTGACGGCAGCGGTGCAAGATGGGCAAAGACACAGGACGAAACAAGGGGAAGAACGAAGAAAAAGGGGTAAAACGAGGGAAATAGGACTCACGGAGGGTATCATCGTACTCGTCGTCAAAGACGGCCGCACGTGGCGGGGCGTACGCATATCGGTGGCCAGAGGCGATGGCGGGACTGTGTGCGCGCACCTTGACAGCCGTGCTTCTGCTCTCCCTGCTGTCATACTGCTGTGCGTGGTAGCTGTATCCGACGTGGCGCGGATATGCAGATGACGGGAGCGAGCTGGTGGACGGCGAAGTGGGCGGCGGCGGGGACGAGCTAGCCGTAGTGGGACTGCTAGAGGGCGTGCTGGTGGCAAGACTGGGAGTGTAGCGCTCGTCGAGAGAGCCGCGGTGTCTGTGGGTGGCGTACAGTGGCGCGTGAGGATGGGCTGAAGGCGTCGAGAGCGGGGTGGTGTGTAGTGTGCGGTGGAGAGTGGTGCCGTATGAACCGTAGATGCGCGGGTCCCGGTCTGCGGAGTGGTGCATGTTCATGCTGAGCTCGCTGTGGATGGCGGCTCGGGCGTCGTTGTTGATGTGGTGTGGGTCGCGGCTGGCGACGCGGACGGGGAACATGCGAAGCTGGCCTTGGGCGGGAGGGCAGATGATGGCAGGAGGCAAAGCGTGTTCGCTGGGCGCCAACGTGCCGGGCGTAAGCGTCGTCCACGTGGTTGCGCGCCGTTGAGTTGTGTGCGCGTATTTGGCTCGTCTCGCAATCATGTGAACGCGATCGGTAACGTCACGCGTAACGCATAAGCTTCCGTGCGTCGCCGCCGTGGCTCGTTTAGACCGCTACGCGCTCCTTGTGCAAGAATAGCAGAAGCTTGCACCTGCACGCGTAGAATTCCCCGAGCTGTCCTCAATTCTGATGAGGACCATACAGCAGACGTACGCTGGCTGCCAGTCGCCAATCCACTGCGCAACCACCTCCTCGGCACCTCCTGCTCTTACAGCTCTGGCGCTCGCGAGGGGCGCCGGTGAGCATCTGCTGCAGCTTCGAACCTCGTTATACACTGCTTACGAGTATTTGTCGCGGGTCATAAAGTGCACCAGGACGCGAGATAAGCACATATTCACATGCTTTCCCTTTCGTATGAGCCCCAGGGCTCCGGCATTGGCCCGAAATCTCCGCCAAGTCCTTCTCCAGTGGTGTCTGCACCTGTCTGCACGTCCGTGACTGTCCCTACCATGTCCTCTCCGATCCCTTCGCCAGGGTGGACCCATTTTTGCCACTCTTGTACGCGGTTTGATGCTCGAGAACCCGAACAGATATCGCTGGCAACATTCTCCAGCGGCTTCCACTCGTCACTCTCATAGCCACATCTTCCCCTTCAATCACTCTATAAGCAGCAGTCCTACCTCTAGGAAGTTGTTATCGTGGTTCTGTAGCTTCCCAGGTACATTTTTCCTAACATGTCTCTTGCTTCCGCCTCCCTGCCTCAGCACGCAAGGATTAAGCAGCTAAACGCTCTCCTTTCTGGTCTTTGCTCTTCTTCTGCAAGCGGTGCCCTCGCCGCCGGCAAGAATGACGATATAACACGTTTATGTTTTTGTAGGCGATATATCTCACTTTGCTAGAGCATGTTTCATGGTCGGAATCTGTCAGGTTCTCCTGCCCTCTCTTTCTCTATAGCTTTGTTGTCATCATTGTTCACTGTACCACAGCCCAGGACGTGTTTCGGTCAGATAGCAAGGCCTGCTGGATAAAAGTGCGTAGTCTTGAATGTTGTCAGCGGTGCTTTCACGGTCTCTTTGGATACGCCTAGGTGGCGCGGGGTCACGACCCGCGCGAGGTACATGTGGCGCACCTCTTTAGATCTTAGACCTAATAATACTGCTGACGGTGCACTTTTGGTAGATGTTCCTCGGCGGCTCTGGCACTAGTCTTTTCCTGAAAATAGGAATATCAAGGTAACAGAAGATGGTTGACGTTATCGAGATTAACAGGTGAACCACTTGAGCACTGAAAGGAAATTCGAGTGAGAGCAAACCGCGCTCCG